TACCGTCAAATCAGATCTGACTGGTACAGGAGGAGATTGTCCCTCCTTCCCCGGCAGAGCATCTGGTGGATTTGAATTAATTTTTTTTTAAAATTTTTATTTTAGAGTGTGTGTGTGTGCGTGTGTGTGTGTGTGTGTGTGTGTGTGTGTATGAGAGAGAGAGAGAGTGAGTGTACCGTCAAATCAGATCTGACTGGTACAGGAGGAGATTGTCCCTCCTTCTCCGGCAGAGCATCTGGTGGCTTCAAACCGTGCACCTCTGGGATTGTAGTTGCAGCTCCTTGCCACTAGGCCACCAGAGCTCCCCTGATAGGCTAGCTCTTGAGTCAGTTTCAACTCAGGGCAAGACCACATGTGCTGAGTAGAACTGTCCCATAATTTTCAAAGCTGGTCTTCAGGGCACCTTTGGACGGACTCAAACTGTGCACCATTTGGCTACTTGTTATGTGCCACTGAAATGACTACAACTCTTAGTGACCTTATGAACCACAGCTCTGAGCCTTGCCCTGTCCTGAGCTAACCTCACAGTCTCCAACACACCTGAGCCCATTGCCACAGTCACTATGTCAATCCATCTCATCCAGGGTCTTCTCCTGCATTGACCTTCTACCCTTCCAAGTGTAATGTTCTTCTCCAAGGACTGGTAGGTACCCTCCTGACAACATGCCCAAAGTATGGGAGACAGAGTTTCAGAATCCTTGCTTCTAAGGAGCAACCTGCTTTCACTCGATTGCCAGTGATCGAGCATTTGCCCTCGAGTTGGTTCAAATGCATAGTAACCCTCCATTGGGTTTCTGAGGCAGTAAATCTTCACGGAAGGAAACTGCCCATCTTTCTCCCAAGGAGTGTCTGGTAGGTTCAAACCACTGACTTGGAGTTACTCAGCTAAGTCATTGCCATCGAGTCGAGCCAACTCATAACTGACCCTCCAGCAGGTTTTCTAAGTCTGTAAATCACAGGAGGATAGTGGCCTGTCTTTCTCCCGAGGTTGTGAACACCAGAGAGACATGGCATTTGTGTTAGGGCAGCACCCATGGGTTATGGCATCAGAGCTCCCTGATCCTTGCTTAGTAGCCTGATATGTTACGCCCTATACCACCAAGGCTCCTTTCAGGGAAATCAGTGGTTCTCGACTCTTCTTCCACCAAGAACTTAATTTGTGAATTCCTTCCAACATTCTCAGTGCCCAACAGACTTTGTATTTCAAATGCCTTTATTTGTTAAGCAGTTGTTGTCTCATCTTTTTTTTGTTACTCAAAGTTTATATATTAATACCAAACAGTTTCAGGTCTGTGCGAGACAGCCAGGATTACCTGATTTAATTCAGACTAGAAAAGTCTGTGCAGCCTTTTGTCATGGGTAAAGTGTCACTTAAGTACTTATAAAACTATCAAGAATAGAGGGACTCCCCAGGACCTTCCCAGGTCCATAGCACCTAGGTGCCTTAGACTACATCCTCTGATCTCCTCACTTTATAATTATGGGTAACTTGCAAGACTAAGGAGGGCAGCGTTGATGTGTCCAAGGTCACAGAGCACTTTGGTGGAGGACCTGGGCCAGGACCCGGATCTCCGGACTGTTCCTTTCTGCCAATCATACCTGTATGTGAACACTAACGACTGTGTGTAAAGAAAGTTACTCTAGGAGGATGAAACAGGTACCTGAGACTCTTGAGGATAAAGCAGGTGCCTCAGGACCTAAGACCAGAAAGACTGCTGGCCCACGGGGATACCCACGGCAGGGTGGAGGGACCTAGCCACAGCCCTCAGTGCTTTCTTCCCCTCCCCCAGCACCGTTTTGTCCTCCGGGAGCGACCACCCACAGTCATCATGGACCTAATCCAGCGGACCAAGGATGCTGTGCGGGAGCTGGACAACCTGCAGTACCGCAAGATGAAGAAGATTCTGTTCCAAGAGGCACCGAATGGTCCTGGCGCTGAGGCCCCAGAGGAAGAAGAGGTCTTGCCCCCTTTCCCTCTTTTAGCCCCATACTGAGTCTCCCAGCAACAACTGTTCCCTTGCACCTCATATTTCCTCTGTCTTCCCGTGTTCTCACCACACATACGCGCACACGTCCTTCCTCTTCCCAGCCCAACAGCCTGCGCCTTGTCCACAGGAAGCAGAACCCTACATGCACCGAGCTGGGACCCTGACCAGTCTGGAGAGTAGCCACTCGGTGCCCAGCATGTCCATTAGCGCCTCCAGCCAGAGCAGCTCTGTCAATAGTCTAGCTGATGCCTCAGACAATGAGGAAGAGGAGGAGGAGGAGGAAGAAGAGGAGGAGGAGGAAGGTCCCGAAGCTCGGGAGATGGCTATGATGCAAGAAGGGGAGCACACAGTTACCTCCCACAGCTCCATCATCCACCGGCTGCCGGTATGAGCTTACCCCGAGTGGGCCTCATGGAAGCAGTAGCCACACCCGAGCTCCACCTCAGGATCCCCTGGGTTCCCTCCTCTCCCTCCTTAAAGCTGACTTCTCAGCCTTAGATCTGCTAGGTCTCTTCCCGTCGCTCCCTTTGGGCCAAGTCGTGCCTTGGGTATCCCTTCCACTTTCCCTTCCTCTAGGGCTCTGACAACCTTTATGATGACCCCTACCAACCAGAGATCACCCCAAGCCCTATCCAGCCACCCACAGCCCCGGCTCCCACCTCCACCACTTCTTCTGCTCGCCGCCGGGCCTACTGCCGCAACCGGGACCACTTTGCCACCATCCGGACGGCCTCTCTGGTGAGTGTAGCTATCTCTGCTTTGCCTGCTTGCTGTCCATTTTCTATCACTTCTGAATATCCTACACAGTCTTTGTTAAGTTATTTTCTCCCTGTGGGTACAGGATTAATTCCACATTCTAGCCTTAACTCTCTGGTAGCTTTCACGTTCCTTTTCCTCCTCCCCCACCAAAAAACTTTGGTAACATTACTCTTCGTTTTTGTGGCCTACATTTCCACAGACATGTGCTGGGTGCCTTCCTAGGCTCCTCTGTTTAGTCAGCAGCTTCACTTCCCTGTATGCAGGCATGCTTAGGCCTCTGCTGTGACACTCTTGAATGATGTTAGGATAGGTCAGCTGCGTTCTGTGGCTCATGGAGTTCAGTGTGCGTCTCGTCCCCATGATTGGCTGTTAGGCCTGTGCATGTGTGTGCGTCTACTCCTTCCCGGTAACCTGGATGGGGAAGGAATGCTCCGGTTTGAGAGATAAGGCAGCTGAGTGCTCCTTAGCCAAGTGTGATCAGTGCCTCAGACTCCAAGCAGGGTCTTCGTCCTTTCCTAAACTCAGGCTATGGCAGTCCTTTCTGTTCACAGAGGAGAGAAAAGTTAGAATGTTCCTAAAATACAGGTGGGGGGGGGCTTGGGGTTTTTTTTGGTTGGATCCTACTGGCACAGGAGGAGATTGCCCCTCCTTCTCCAGCAGAGCATCTAGTAGATTTGAACTGTACGCCTTCAGGATTGCAGTGCAGCTTCTTGCCACTAGATCACCAGAGCTCCCTTAAAATACAGGGGTTTTTACCCACAGAGTTAATAGACTTGTGGACGACATTCCTGCCTAGCTCCTTTGAGCACCAACTGCCCCCTCGGGAGTCACTGGTTGGCTCTGCAGTCTTTAGGCGCTGTTGCATTGGTCCTACCTCATAGCAACCCTGTGTGCTACAGGAAACACTGGCTGGCCCTGCATTGCCCTTACTGTCATTGCTGTGTTGGAGTGGAGGGTGTGGCCTGTGTCTCAGTTCATCTTGTTGAGGGTCTTTCTCTGTTTCACTGTCTTCTGCTTTACCAAGCCTGCTCTCCTCCTCCAGAGACTGGTCCTTCCTTGTAACATGTCCAAAGGGTATCAGTCTTTGGTCTGACCGTTAGGCTTAAGAACATTGTTGGTTCTTCTGGCAGTCCGGAGAGTGGCACCTAACAATAACAACCAGCAGTTCCTGGCATATTTAATTTTCTTTACCAACAGTATAGCTCAAAATCACCACTTCCTTAGTCTTTTTTTTTTTTTATTCTTTGCCCAGATTTCATATGCACGTGAGGTGATTAAAAAGAACCATTGGTTGGATGAGGCACACCTTAGTCTTTAAACAGACATCCTTGTTTTTAACACTGTAAAGTGGGTCTTGAACAACAGATTTTCCTGGTGATTTTATTGACTGCTGTTTCCATGGATGTTGTTTGTGGATCCACATAAAATGAAATAGTTGGCAGCTTTGATAAGTGTCTCTGCTTTTTGCCTCTTGGTACAGTTGTGAGGATTGGACGGGGGGGGGGGTGCTGTTTTTGTTTTTGGTTTGGGGTTGGGTTTTTTTTTCCCTCTCGTGCAATGTAATCTATAGTGAAGGCTTTAGTCTTTGATCTTCAGAAAATGCTTCAAGTCCTCTTCATATTTGGTAAACAAGATTGTGTCATTTTCGCGTGCGTGCATGGTGTGTGTGTGTGTGTGTGTGTGTGTGTGTGTGTGTGTAAACCTGGACTGGTTTGAGGTGAGAGAGAGAGAGTGTGTGTGTGTGTGTGTCAGAGCCTGGGCTGGTTTGCGGTCCACTGACCTAACTAGCTGCCTGAACCTTGAATACAGTCATCCAGACCCAGTGTCCTTGCTTCTCCAGCATCTTTGACCCAGATGCCAGCTCTGCACCTGGAAGAGAATAGGCCCTTTGTGTTTTGAAGTCAAGGAAGCCAGTGCCTGCAGGTTCAGAGTTCCAGACTCTTCCCTGTGTCTCTCACACTCACTGTACTTTCATACATATAACACACATGCTAAGCTGTCGGTTTCCTTTGTGCATAGAGTGTGTTAGTATGCAAAAATCCTGTGATCTCCATAGGATTGTGCTTTTCTAGCAGATGAGAGAACTGAGGCTTAGAGAAGTTAACTTGTTTAAAGCATCTTTTTCTTGAAAATTTTTTATTTTAATTGAAATTTTAAAGAAAGTTTATAGAGAATTTGGGTTCCTATTCATTCAGTTTTGCACATTTTCTTCCCTACCCACTCCCCTGTTCACTTTTCACTTTGAAAACAAAATTCTTTCATAGCTGCACAATCCTTCCCCTTCCCCCCGCCCCAAGTCCACGTGCAGCTCTTGTTCTGGACTGTTGTAATGCAAATATTACCTAATCATTTATTCTTTTTAATCATTTCTTTTCCTCATCTGTTTCAATGCAGTATACATTATTTATCCCCTCTTATCTTAGTTTCCTCCCAACCCCCATGTCAGTCCTGTTTTAGAACAGTGGCATTACGCAGTATTTGTCCTTTTGTAACTGAGATATTTCACTCAGCATAATGTCCTCCAGGGTCACCCATTTTGTATAATCTTTCATGAGTTCCTTGTTTTTCAATGCTGCGTAGTATTCCATTGGGTGAATATACCACAGCTTCTCTATCCCTTTGTTTGTTGATGGGCACTTGGGTTGTTTCCATCTCTTTGCTTTTGTGAACTACGCAACAATGAACATAGCTGTGCTTAAGATTAAGTATCTCAAGTAGCAGGACTCAGGTTTGAGCCTAGGTCTGTCTACTCTTCGAATGTTGTGTGAATTGTTCCCAGTTTTGTGTGAGCCCCAATAATACTTACTCAGTGTCTATCATTTCATCATACCAGTAGTGAAGTAGGTTGGTAGTATCTTTATTATCCCATTGAGGAACTAGGCTCAGAGAGGTTGGGCGTGTGCTTCATGGTCACCCAGCGAGGAAAGTACCAAATGACATTTACGTTTTACTCGAGTTTAAAATATGCGTTCCCCCTCAGATCATGAGGACAGTGAGGTTAATAAAATGGGGGCCCAGAGCTGAGCCCTTTCTCTCATCCGCCCACTACCCCAGGTAAGCCGTCAGATCCAGGAGCATGAGCAGGACTCAGCCCTGCGAGAACAGCTGAGTGGCTATAAGCGGATGCGACGACAGCACCAGAAACAGCTGCTGGCCCTGGAGTCTCGGCTCAGGGGTGAACGCGAGGAGCATAGTGCACGGCTGCAGCGGGAGCTCGAGGCACAACGGGCCGGCTTTGGGGCTGAGGCAGAAAAGCTGGCACGAAGGCACCAGGCTATCGGTGAGAAGGAGGCACGGGCTGCCCAGACTGAGGAGCGTAAATTCCAGCAGCACATTCTCGGACAGCAGAAGAAAGAGCTGGCTGCCCTGCTGGAGGCACAAAAGAGGACCTACAAACTTCGAAAGGAGCAGCTAAAGGAGGTGAGGCTGGGGCTGGGCTGGGGCCAGGCCTGGGGAGGTGGTCGGTGGAGCAGGCCCTGACCTCCCTGCGCTCCCGCTGCCCTGGCCCAGGAACTCCAGGAGAATCCCAGCACACCCAAGCGGGAGAAGGCTGAGTGGCTTTTGCGACAGAAGGAACAGCTCCAGCAGTGCCAAGCAGAGGAGGAGGCAGGCTTGCTACGGCGGCAGCGGCAGTACTTTGAGCTGCAGTGTCGCCAGTATAAGCGTAAGATGCTGCTGGCCCGTCACAGCCTGGACCAGGACCTGTTGCGGGAGGTAGGGCACCCTGTCCTCACTGTCTTCTGGCTCCTTTTATGGATTCCACACTCCAGCCCTTATCTGTTTGTTTCACTTGTCTCCATCTGTCTTCATTCTGTGTTCTGAGATTTCTTCCATTTTTTTTGTTGCCCAACCCACAAGACCCTGCTAGTTTCCTCATGCCACGCTAGCCAGTTTGCACCCTTGATTTCCTTCCTCTACCCACTTCTCAGCCCCATCTGCCAAGGAGTCCTCAGGCTTTCGCTTCTTTACCACCAGCAAGACTCCTGACTGAGCCCTGGGTCCTCCCTTCCTTTTGCCTCAGGACTTGAACAAGAAACAGACACAGAAGGACTTGGAGTGTGCGTTGCTGTTGCGGCAACATGAGGCCACACGGGAGCTGGAGCTTCGGCAGCTCCAGGCTGTGCAGCGCACACGAGCTGAGCTCACCCGCCTGCAGCACCAGACGGAGCTGGGCAACCAGCTGGAGTATAACAAGCGACGTGAGCAGGAGTTGCGGCAGAAGCATGCGGCCCAGGTTCGCCAGCAGCCCAAGAGCCTCAAAGTACGTGCAGGCCAGCGCCCCCCGGGCCTCCCGCTCCCCGTTCCTGGGGCTCTGGGACCACCCAGCACAGGCACCCCTAGAGAAGAGCAGCCCTGCTCATCTGGCCAGGCGGCAGTCCTGGACCAAGGACTGCTGGGAAAGGAGGAAGCAGTTCCTGAGAGAAGGATTCTGGGAAAGGAAGGGGCCACCTTGGAGCCAGAGGAGCGGAGGATTGTAGGGGAAGAATCAGAACCCCCTAGTCCCAGTGCACAAGAACATAGGAGTCTGATTGATGAAGATGTTTGGGGTCTACCCAGGGAGGAAATAGAAGAGTTTAGAGTCCCATCCCTGACACCCCAGGAGAGGAACATTGTGGGCCAGGAGGAAGCTGAAGCATGGAGGTTGTGGGATAAAGGCGATGGAAGCCTTCTGGATGAGGAGTTTGACCTTGGCTGGGTTCAGGCCCCAGCTCTAACCCCGGTCCCTGAGGAGGAGGAAGACGAGGAGGAGGGGGCTCCAATTGGAACCCCTAGAGATCCAGGTGATGGCTGTCCTTCCCCAGACATCCCTCCTGAGCCCCCTCCAACATATTTGAGATCTGGCCCTGCCAGCCAGTTACCTGGGCTCCTGTCCCATGGCCTCCTGACTGGCCTCTCCTTTGCAGTGGGCTCCTCCTCCGGCCTTTTGCCTCTACTGCTGCTGCTCCCACTGCTGGCAGCCCAGGGTGGAGGGGGCCTGCAGGCAGCACTGCTGGCCCTTGAGGTGGGCTTGGTGGGCCTGGGGGCCTCCTACCTGCTCTTTTGTACAGCTCTGCATCTGCCTCACAGTATATTCCTACTCCTAGCCCAGGGTACTGCACTGGGGATTGTTCTGGGCCTGAGCTGGCGCCGGGGCCTTATGGGGGTGCCTCTGGGCCTTGGAGTTGCCTGGCTACTAGCTTGGCCGGGCCTGGCTCTGCCACTGGCGGCTGTGGCAGCGGGGGGCAAGTGGGTACGACAGCAGGGTCCACGGATGCGCAGGGGCATCTCTCGCCTCTGGTTGCGGGCTCTGCTTCACCTGTCACCCATGGCCTTCCGGGCCCTGCAGGGTTGTGGGGCTGTTAGAGATGGGGGCCTGTTTGCGCTCTACCCAAAGACCAACAAGAATGGCTTCCGTAGCCGTCTCCCTGTACCTGGCACCCGGCGTGGCAGTGCCCGTACTGCCTATCACCCATTAGCCCTGTTGTCAAGAGTTTGGGCCCTGTGCAAGGGCTGGAACTGGCACCTGGCACGGGCCAGTCAGGGTTTAGCTTCTCACTTGCCCCCTTGGGCAATCCACACACTGGCCAGCTGGGGCCTGCTGCGGGGTGAACGGCCCAGCCGCATCCCCCGACTGCTCCCACGCAGCCAGCGCCGGCTGGGTCCCCCTGCCTCCCGTCAGCTACCTTCAGGGACTCTAACTGGGCGAAAGTCGAGAACCCGCCAATCTCGTGCGCTTCCTCCCTGGAGGTGACCAGCCAGCTCTTCCTCAGCCCAGACCTAGAGAGCATTGAGCACTTTATCTCCCACTCCTCAGTGACGTTTCTCCAGAACCAGGTCCCCCTCTCTCCCGTCCCTCCTTCAGTTGACTCCCAGCCTCCCAGGCAGGCTGCCTCTGCCGCAGCGGGGCCTGGAGGTTACACTTTGTGTCCTCCCAATGCTCCTCCCACCCTAAGTTATTGCTGTCCTCCCACTGTGTGTGTGCGCTCATCCTCACCCTCATCAACTCAGGCCTGGGGCCAGGGGTGGCAGTGGGTGGACCACAGGTTGGGTTTTGGGGTTTTTTTTTTCTCCTCTTTGATTTTGTTTTTCTGTCTCCCTTCCAACCTGTCCCCTTCCCCCTACCAAAAAAAAAAAAAGATAAAAAGACAAACACAAATAAAATATCTGAGCGGAACTGTACCTTTGGCCCAGGCTGCCTCTGTCTGCTTTGTCCTGCCGCCTAGCCTCCCCGGTATGCCCCTGATCTGGACCCTTGACCCCAGTTCCATGACCTCTTCACTGCCATCTACGTTACCTTAACCCCCAGCTCCTCAGCCTCGTCTCTGCCTGTATAGTTTACCTTGCCCCACAACTACCGCAGCTTCTGGGACCCTGTTGAATGTCCACAGAACTTGTTGGCCCCATAGTTTTCTTATTCATAGGTTCCTTCCAGAAAACCCTTCGTCCATGTCCTGCGTGAATCCCTTCTGTCTGAGAGTGGGATTTTTCTCTTAGCATCAAGCATTACCCTAGAGGGCTGGGGCATATAGCTGCAGACCCTTCACAGTGGGCAGAGAGGAGACTTGGGGGGGGAGGTAGGCAGAGCAGAGGATGGGGACAGTGGAAAATGGGACCAGTTTGGGGTGGGAGCTAAGTGGTAAGAGCTGAGCTAGACTGGAACTGGTCAGGAGGGCGACAGCTGCTGGCCCACTGAACTCCTGTGGCCCATTCTGGCCACCTCCTTTGCCCCTTTCTCTTATTATGTGCCCCCAAGGTGGGGCAGCCCCTTCTTATCCATCTCTTAGCTCAGTGCTTCCCCCCACTTCCTCCCTCCCCAAGGTACCCAGCCTGGGGCTTCCTCCGTCTTTTCCTTAGTTGTGTTGCTTTCTTCCATGGGTGTTTTGTGTAACTTGGTGCTCTTTCTTTTATACACATTCTTATATTTGCTCACGTTTCTATCTCTAGGTCATACTTCTCCCTCTTTGCATGACCACAACTTCTTGTGTGTATTCAGAATTCCATACAAATTCTTGGCTCCCTGTCTGTGAACATGCTCTCTGATGCTCGCTCTTGTGAATCTTCCACTCAGCTCTGTGAACGTGCTCTTGGATCCAGTCTTGTTTCCTCTGCATCTCTTGCCCAAGAGCCTTCCTGATCTCTCAACACAACCCCATCTCACCATGTCTGTCTGTATACAGCTCCCCCCGCCCCCTCTGTCTAACATGTTTTCTGTTTCTCTCCCTCTCCCTGTCTCTGCTTCTGTCTCCTCTCCACTATTTCTTCTCCCCTTCTCCCCTGGTTGTTTCTCCTCCTCCTTTTCCTCTTCTTCCTCCCCCCTGCCCCATCTCCCTTCGATCCATCCACTGCGTAGTCTAAGGAGCTGCAGATCAAGAAGCAGTTCCAGGAGACGTGCAAGATCCAGACTCGGCAGTACAAGGCTCTGCGGGCACACTTGCTGGAGACCACGCCCAAAGCTCAGCACAAGAGCCTCCTTAAGCGGCTCAAGGAAGAACAGACCCGCAAGCTGGCGATCTTGGCCGAGCAGTACGACCAGTCCATCTCAGAGATGCTCAGCTCACAGGCGGTGAGGCCTGGGGTCCAGGGAGGAGCATGGTGGTGTCTGGCCTTTGCGTTTTAGCGGGGGAGTCGGGGGCTGTAGACACAGACGGGGCTTTTTGTGCTTGGGAAGTTCAAATATTCTCCCACTGTTAGTGTTCTTTGCAATGGTTTTATCATCTCTCCCAGTATTTTCTTAAAGTGTTGACAAAGCCGGCCAGCCTACCAAGATCCACCAAAGAAACATAGCTATAATTTTTTCCTAGTCCTGAGCTAATTTATTGAGTTTTACAGGGAGCCGGACAAAGTGATTGTGGCCTTTGGGCCCATTTACCCCAAATCTGGAGGATTTTGAAGGTTGCTCTTCTAAAACCAATCCCATAGTGCTGGGATTGGTCACTCATATAATACACGCAGAGTCAGCAGCAAATGACCCAGTAGGAACTATAGATTGCTAATCTGTAGTAAACCGTGTCACCACATCAAAGATCTGCTTTTGCTTTAGCTGGTATCTCTCTTATCTCCCAATCCCTGAGTACCTTCCTGCAGATTCAAAGCCTCTTTCAAACTTACAGTCCCTGACTGGGGCAGAGTACTCAGTAAGCAAGGTAAGTGTGGACTGACTGATCTGTAGTGAACAATTTTATAAATTTATAACCACTTTCCTGAGAAAACCTGAATGAAATTGTTCACAATATATTAGTAAGTCAGCCTGTGCTTACTGCCTCTCTTACTGGGTGGTTTGCACCTGCATAGAATGGAGAAGGGCCCATTCCAGGCCACTCCCTCACCCTGATCCCCCTTCTTATAGGTAACTAGTTAGTGTTTTTCCCTGTGCATATTTGGAATATGGGATAAAACTTTCAAACAGAAATGGAATCCTACTTTCCATACTGTTCTTTTAACTTCCTTTTTCTTCTTAGTATTTCTTGTGCATCTTTCCACATCCGTACACGTGTCTCATTTTTTTTAACAGTGTAGCTTTTTCTGTGGCATGACTGTACCAGAATCTATTTAACCAAAACCCTTATTGGTGGACATTTAGGTTGTTTCCAGTATTTTGCTATTACAACGCTTCACTGAACACCTTCGCGCACATGTGCAAGTATACCTGGGGGATAAATTCCTGGAAGTGTAATTGCTGTGTCACAGGGTATGACGATCTTTTGTTTTGGTAGATGTTGAGACTGGCTGCTGCTTGAAACCTCAAGGGCCCAGGCCTACCTGGGACAGGGGAGGATTTTGGGAGCGGGGAGGAGATCTCTAGAACTGGTCCTCCTTCTTCTCTAGCTGCGGCTGGATGAGACCCAGGAGTCTGAGTTCCAGGCTCTTCGGCAGCAACTTCAGCAGGAGCTGGAGCTGCTCAATGCTTATCAGAGCAAGATCAAGATCCGCACGGAGAGCCAGCATGAGCGGGAGCTGCGGGAGCTGGAGCAGAGAGTGGCACTGAGGCGGGCACTGCTGGAGCAGCGGGTAAGGCAGCTTAGCCTCCAGAGTGAGAGGGGAGGGGGCATTCCCCAGACCTGCACCCCATCCCCCATAACCTCTGTCTGGGTGTCCTAGGTGGAAGAGGAGCTGCTGGCCCTCCAGACAGGGCGCTCTGAACGAATCCGGAGTTTGCTAGAACGGCAGGCTCGAGAGATCGAGGCCTTTGATGCTGAGAGTATGAGGCTGGGCTTCTCCAGTATGGCTCTTGGGGGCATCCCAGCGGAGGCTGCTGCCCAGGGCTATCCTGCTCCACCCCCTGCCCCTGCCTGGCCCTCTCGTCCTGTCCCCCGCTCAGGGGCACACTGGAGCCATGGCCCTCCTCCACCCGGCATGCCCCCCCCAGCCTGGCGTCAGCCCTCTCTGCTCACTCCTCCAGGTCCCCCAAACTGGATGGGACCATCAGCACAGAGTGGGACACCCCGTGGTGGAGCCCTGTTGCTGCTAAGAAATAGCCCTCAGCCCCTGCGACGGGCAGCCTCAGGAGGCAGTGGCAGTGAGAATGTGGGTCCCCCCGCTGCCGCTGTGCCCGGGCCTCTGAGCCGCAGCACCAGTGTTGCTTCCCACATCCTCAACGGTTCTTCTCACTTCTACTCCTGAAGTGCAGAGCAGAGGAGCAGTGAGCTGGACTGGGGCGGGTGAAGCCCGATCCTGGAGCACAGTAAGCTTGTGGCCCACCTAAAGGTGGGGGAAAGGATGTCAGCTCCAGTTCCCTTCAAACCTCATCTCATGAGCTTCTTGGGGCTGGCCAGTGGCCCAGGGCCAGCTTGGGCTTAAGTGCCTCAAGGCTGACCAGGAGCCTCTGCCTCCCCACCATGGTGCCAGGGTCTCCCTCCATCACAGCTTAGGGAAAGGAGGGAGATGTGTGTGTCAAATATTCATCTAGTCCCCTGGGGGAGGGGAAGGGTGGGTCTAGATATATTCAGAAAACTATACTATTCCCTGCAGTGGGGCTGTGGACTGGGGATGCCAGGGCCGCAGGCCTGGGGCGGGGAGAACGGGAGGAGGTGGCCTTCCTAGTGTTACTGCAAAGCCAAGGTCCTGCCACCTGCCTCTGGGAGATGGGTTGTCGGTTACACTAGGAAAGAATTAGGATGGGGCCTTGGAGTTGACCTCTGGGTCTCTCCATTAAGGCTCCTCCTCACCTCTTCTCCCTGTTGCTGTCTGAAGTCCTGTGCCGTCTTGTCCTCTTTCTTTTTTTAAAAAATTGGGATCAGGGCTGGGGCTGGGGAACAAGGGTAAGACCTTGGAAGGGGCTGCTCCCAGGCATGGGGGCAGTCATGGGAGCCCCTCTCAGCTTATGGGGCTGGCACAGAACCCCAGTGCAAGCTTTTAATAAACTGTTGGTTATTCTGACAGATTCCGGGACTCACCTCTTCTGTCTTGAGATGTTTAAGAGCTGTGGAACAAATTATTATACAGCTGGGCTGTATGACTGAAAATTTCAGTGACTGATGATTTCAGACATGACCAGGTCCAAAGTCTTGGAGCATGTTTCCAACTTCTTCAGTTTCTCTGCTTGCCTTTGCTTTGCCTTCAAAGATTCTTCATGTTTCACTTCACATAGAGGCTTCAGGCTTATTTTATCACTAAAATAAGCAGCCTCAATAGAAAGATTCCAGCTAAATTCTGAAGCAACGTCATTCACTCGATCTGTAGCCCAAGTTCTGATTCTGGCTCCACCTCCCTCATAGAGTAGAATTGCTTCATAGGGTTTCTGGGGGTGGGGGGTGGGGGGTGAGTGAGGGAGTGATGTGATGCTCTGGTGGCCTAGTGTAAGAAGTTGTACTGCCAATCGTAAGGCACGTGGTTCATATTCACCAGCTTATCCGTAGAAGACAAATGCGCAGTCTCCTTCCATGAGATTTAAAGCCTCTGAGAAACTGCTCGAAGGTCAGTTATGAATGAGTCACCTCTAGCTCAATGATACATAACATAGTTGGATAGATAGCAAGAAAGATAAAGCTAGCTAGCTCTGTATGTCTCCTTTGTGCCCTAGGCCATCTAAGTTCTGTATGCAGCCCTTTTGGACGAAGTAGAGAGAGCCCTTGCCTAAGAGCAGAAAGGTGGAGTCAGGAGCTGCTTACAAGTCATTTCATGCTTACTGTCTTCATAACTAGGTATTAGGCTGTCAGATACAAATAAGTGATCAGAGGCAGGCTAGAGAGATCATAGCCATACACCTTTCTGGTAGGGTGTGGAGATGGGAACTTGGCTGGAAAGGAAACAGATGAGAAACCCTGGCTGCTGCTCAGCTCCTGGCCCAAAGTCCAGAGGGTAAAAGACCAGTTCTAATGAGGCAACTGCAAGTACGCCTTTATTGTTAACAAAGCCCGTAAATACCTTAAACAAAATGAAGGTGAGGTTAGGGCCCCAGGGCCTTGTCTTCCCCGAAGAAAGCAGCTTCGAGCCTGTGCAGGCACAGGACGGGGGACTACATATGCTTTGTACAAGTGGTGCCAAGTCCTTCCGAGGGAGCATATGCTCAGGTGCTCTCGCCATCACTGCTGATGATGCCTCGCATATGAGACCAGTCTAAGGGCGGGCGGCGGGGCTGCTCTTCCTCAGAGTCCAGGGTCCTGTGGTACAGCTCTCCCTGGGATGCTGCTCCTGAAGGGTTCCAGGCTGTGCGTCTGCGTGACCGGCCTGGCAGGTAGGGGAAGTCAGTGGCTTTCAAAGCCCAAGCCCCCCATCTCGCTGAGGAAGCCCCTTACCTGAACTGCTGATGATGTTGGCAACATCCAAAGAGGCTACCTCGGCTGCCTCTTCCCGCTGCTGCTTCAAGGCCCGACACTTCTCCAGGGAAGGGTTACCTGAGGCAGAAGAACAAGTGATCCTCTCTCCGACAGCAGAAGCCCCCTTGTGTGGCTGCCAGGACATGCCCAGCCTCACCCTTCATGCCCAGGGCTTCCAGTTCTGCCCGGAGGACACTCAGGCGCTCTTTGTGCGAGTGACAGGAGCCCAGCAGCTTCTTGTAGTTCCGATAGGCCCCACAGGCCCGGATGTAGCGCTTTAGCCTCATAATGGCAGGGTGGTCTTCACCACGACGGCCAGAGACAGCCTGCAAGGAAGGACCAGCTGAAGGCCTCACTGCTGAGCCTGAGGCGGGCCCATCTCCCCCTTCCCCGCCTGTGTCCTCACCTTCCTTCCTTCAGGCTCTGGACTTTCATCTGAGGAGGAAGAGGAGCTGCGGGTCTTGCCTTTCTTGGCACTCTTCTTGGAAGAGCGGTTCCTCCTCTCCCCCTGGGGACTCTCTTCTGCCTCGCTGTCGCTCACCTCCCTCTCCACGTCACTCTCCTCACCGCTGACACTAGCCACCTCGCCTGCTTTTTTAGTGCCTTTACTCTTCCCTTTGACTGCCTTCCCACTGTCTTCCACATCCTCCTCACTGCTTCCGCTCTGCTTTTCCCTGCCCTTACACTTGTCACTCACTTTCTGCAATGAAGGCTCTTCCTCACCCTCAGTTTCATCCCCACTGCCTGCTGCCTCTTTGTCCTTTCTGTCCTCCGAGTTTCCCATAAGCTTCCCTGCCTTGTTTTTCAGCTTAACGCTCTTCTTGTCCCTAGCTAGCCTTTCCCCTCTGTTCCTCTTGGCCTTGCATGTCCATTCCTCTTCATCCCCCTCTTCGCTGTCCTCCTCGTCCTCTCTGTTCTCTCTCTTCTTGGATGAGGCATCCTCAGCCTCACTCTCCTCTTCACTCTCCTGGTGGCTTTTGGCTTGCTCTCCCTCCTGCTTCCTTGCCCTCCTGGGGGCAGCTTCCTCCTCGCTGTCCTCACTCTCCTCCACAGCCTGCTTCCTACTAGCTGCGGCTTTGCCCAGTTTCTGCTTGGTCCTTCTCACAGTGGCCTTCGTCTTGCCCTTGAACTTTGGTCCCCCTTCCTCACTACCCCCTTCCTTCCTGACCTTTCTGGCAGAGCCTGCCTCCTCTTCCTCCTCACTGCTCTCATCCACTCCCTCCTCTGACCCCATCTTTGCAGTCTGGTCCCTCTGCGAGGCCTCCTCATCTCTGCTCTTGTTTGTTGATTTCTTTGATGTTTGCTTTGGACCCTTCTTGGCTGGGCTGGCTTCTGCTTCTGCCATCCCGTTTTCTGCTGGAGAGCTGGAGGAGTCTGAGCTGGAGGCTGCAGAGCTGAGTTCTAGAACAGGGAAGAAAGGGATGGGACTCATTTTTCCTGTTCCTGCCCGTGTCCCTGTCCCTTTGGGAAAAGGTCGCCTCTAGTCCTGCTTTCAAAGAGTGAAGAGCTGCAGGAAACACCTCCACGACCACCCCGATCTGGCTCCTGATTCAAAAGCCCCAGGTTCACACTTTGGGACACAATTCGTGTCGGTATGAATAAACCAAGAATGCGGAAAAGTCTCAAGGCCATGAATCTGAACAAACCTGATTCTGAATTGAAACGGGGCTTTTTTCTCTCTGAATCGCTGGAAGGGGAGGCGGCCCTCTTCACCTTTTTCGAAAGGCCTCGCCCCCTGGCACCCCGGTCATCCACCTGTGTGCGAGGAGAGGGCCGCATGGACCCGGCTGTGTCCTGCCCACCCCTCGGGCCCAGCCTCCCGCCGCCGAGATCCTGCCCCGCACCTGCATCCTCAGCAACTCCTCCTCCACCAGCCGCTTCAGCGCCTGCTTCTCTTCGACTTCCAAGTGGTCGCGACCCACATGAGCCAAGAACCGCTGCCGCACGATGGAGTGCGTGAGCGCGCTGCGGGGACAAGGTGTCAAGGAGGAGGCCCCGTCCCGCCCCTGCCCTGTCCAGTCCCACCTCCTCCAGCACCTGGGCACCTGAGGTCCGGGCGTCCGCGGAAGAGTCTGCGAGTGAACTCCCGCATCTCGCTATCCCGCGCCATTTTGCTCCATTCGGGATTGGTCGCTCCCGCCGTTTTTCTTCCCGGCTTCCGTCAGCGCATTTGACAGCAGGTCGCGCACGCGCGCTGCCGGGGCCCTGGAAGGCGTGGGAGCGTTAGCTGTCGCTCGCGGGCGGCTTCGCCGGACAGCTTTACCAGACGACTCTTGCTGCCCGCCCCAGCGGCAGTTGGAGGGCCTCGCGCTTCTCTCTCTTTCTTAGAACAAATCTCTCTAAAAGTTCTCCTTAGAAACCCTTTGGGCGGCTACAACTTTGGGTGTGACGTAATCAACGCGCGACGCTGTCACCGTGGCCACTCGTCACAGGCACTAGCTTTGCCGCTCTTATTTTGAAAAGCAGTCGAAAACGGGCCGACTGGAAAGGAAACAGGACTATCTGGGTGCGAGGGATCCTTTCTTTGACAGAGGGGGGATCGGAGCCGCCCAGCATCCGCCATCTTTGCCACTTAATCCCGTCTCTGCGACGCCATCTTTAACGTAACCACGGGAAGCAGTTCTCAGGATTCCCCAAGGGGGCAGTCGGGGGTGCGAGGGCGACCCGCGCGCGAGGGCCGCCGGGAGTTGTAGTCCCGCCCGGGCAGAGCCTTGCGGAATCTCCGGAAGTCGAGGTCCGGTTGAGCCGGCCCGGGGGTAGCGGGCACCGGGCCGCTGCTCCTGCGGCCGGTCATGAACGGGCCGGCCGATGGCGAGGTGGACTACAAGAAGAAATACCGGAACCTGAAGCGGAAGCTCAAGTTTCTCATCTACGTGAGTACCGGGAGGAAGAAGAGGTTGTGCATGACGAGGCCTGGCTTTGGGGGGAACCTCAGTTTACTCATGCATACAAAGGGTGGAGAGAGCTGTTGCTGGCCTCTGGGGCCCATCAGGCACGGCCATTGGCTCAGTGGCCCCCTTTTTCGTGGTGCAGGAACATGAGTGCTTCCAGGAGGAGCTAAGGAAGGCGCAGAGGAAATTGCTGAAGGTGTCCCGGGACAAGAGGTGAGGGACTCCGGGGAGTGGGGTGGGGAGGGGTCACCTGCGCATCTTCTTATCCTGAGATGGGGCCAGGGAGGCCCAGTGCTTCCTTCGAAGCTGTGTCGAGCAGCCTGTTAGCCCGTGAGGAGGGAAGAGGGCCCCAGGGCGAGCGAATAACTGAAAAGCGCATCAACCCTCTTGTCTTCCCGGTCTCCCCCTCAGTTTCCTCCTTGATCGGCTTCTGCAGTACGAGAACGTGGATGAAGACTCTTCTGGTGAGCACGGGCTCGAGAAATTGACGGAGGCCAGCAGGTGTTCCCGGTCCTTCCTTTTAGGCTTTTGGGAGCTTGTGCAGCTTCCAGAGTTTCTTTTGTTCGCTTTCCATCCCTGTCATTCTTCCAAGGATTTACTGAGCATCTCTGCTGTTTGTCACGCACTGTGCTTGGAACAGTGCTTGTTGGGACGGGGTGCAGCAGTAACCAAGCAGGACCAGTCCCGTGGCATCTTAACAGCTCATATTCTAGCGGCCGGGAGGAGGACAACTAAGTTAGACGTTTAGATAAAGACTTGAAAGTTGTGAAAGCAGGGTTAATGGTCGTGATTGACTAGGTTAGAGCAGGGATTCACAAGCTTTTTCTATAATAGGGTCAAATAGTACTTTAAGTTGTGAGACGGGTTCTGACTTATAATTTTCATATGTCATGAAATACTTTTTTTTTTACAGTATTTTCAGAAAATCAAAAGCCATCTTAGCTTGTAGACCATTTGAAGGCTCGAAGGCAAGTAATAGGCTTAGGACAGTCACATTTAAGCTGAGACCTAGAGTCTAGGAAGAACCCAGTCCTGTGAGGATATGAGTGAGAGCTTTTTAGGAGAAGGAAATAACAATTAGAAATGCCAGGGTGAGGGGAGCTCTGGTGGCCTAGTGGCAAGAAGCTGCACTGCAATCCCAGAGGCGCATGGTTCGAATCCACCAGATGCTCTGCCGGGGAAGGAGGGACACTCTCCTCCTGAACCAGTCAGATCCGATTTGACGGTACAC